GTAATCATTCTGATCAAGTTCGGATTTCGTGCGGGATTAGGGCATCGGATTAGGACTTGTAAAGTTCCCGGTTCTATCCCCAGTGTCAGCAAAAACAATTAGCTTGTTTCATCATTAATTATCGTAGGGATTCATTAATAGAGGTATTATAATATAAAAAAATGATTCAGTTTTTATTTGGAATTCATTATCATTAATAAATATGTTCAATTCCGGTTATCAGCTAGTAATCCGTTTTGTTTGATTAGCCCCTGATTCGACACGGCTAATCAAATTCGGATCGAGTCGAACGGTTACATGGTTAATCAAGTCCTGATCAAGTTGTAGGATCAGTGCCTGATCCAACAGAAAGTGTTACTTGACCCAAACTTCATCCGGACCAATTTTAGATTGCATGCACTGTAAAAAAGAAATTATTTCCATCCAGCGAATATACTAGAGATACACTAACTATACCAGAAAAATGAATCTCATTCTAAGATTTCCAAAATCAAAAAATAAGATTTATAGATAAGGTTTAATTTCGATTTTTTAACAACTTAATTTGGAAGCATCTCAAATTAAGGCTTCTGGAAGGCTCATATTCGAAAGTCTTAAGTTAAGAGATTCCAAAATTTCGACTTTGAAAACTGTGAAAATTTTAAAAAGGAATCTGATTTCCGATTGCCCAGTAAAGAAGAATAAACAAAAGCGGGGTACGTCAGTAGCTCTGTTCTACGAGACTACTACGTACGATAACATGTACAATCCTATTATTTAAACATCGAGAAAAATATAATGCAACGCATTGCAATAATTATTTTCTATTTTTGAAAAATTTCAACATTATCAAAATGGAAAAAACTTAAATTCGGAAAAATATGAATTGGGACTAGAATGTTTCAAGTTAAGACAGTCAAGTTGCCAGTTAAAACTTTCAATGTACTCAATTCGAGATTTTCCAAAATCTCATGTCGATTATTTGAAAATTGTCGGTAAAAACATTAGTAGGTTTTCACTTAAGACTTGAAAGTCTAAATTTAAAAGTATCATAAGGTCCAACACCCATCAAAAGTCCTGATGTGAGATTATAAGTCTCAAATTAAAATTAAATTTTTTCGCGTGTGAATGCCAAAAATTTCCACATTAAGTTCCGAACAAAATTATGTTTCAAACAGATTTACTCTGTACTACTGAGGTTACTAAGCAAAAATAGAATTTTTGTTAAAATTTGGAACGAATTTCAAAGATTTTTATCAAGAATATGTGCCTGATTCAGGTATATATTTTCTTCTGTGTAGAATATTCCCCGAGAAAATAATATCCTCCTTCGGATATAGAACTCGTTTTAGGGAGAACGAAAATCGATGAAACTAGCGGTACAGCGATAGAGAGAAATTCGGTGAAAGAAAAGTCATTTCTCCACAACTTTTGGCTCGCGGGCATCCCCTTACCACCAGCCATTACCACTGATTCAATTAAATTACGGTTCATAGTTCGCCAAGTGAAACGTGAGATTAACACCATACTGATATAACTACCTCTGTAGTAGCCCTCCGGCTATTTTATGGAGAATAACTTTTATTTTGAGAAAATTCTCTTCTACTTTGGAAAAGTATAATCTTGTTTCTTCATCTCATTGTATTTCTAATGAGATTCGCCATAAATATCCTCTCCCCTTCCCCACTCCTCCAGCATTTGTAAACAGCTTTTCATCTTTTATGAAGTTTTTCAAAAATTTTTCAATTAATCAATACAATTTTGATGTCTGAAACAAGTTGATTGTTCAATTTCAACTTGATTCGGATTGATTCTTCCAATTATTCAATTTTATACAGATGTGTATAAAGCTGAATAATAGAAGAAACTAAATTCAATGCATTGATTTTTTTAATTTATTCAAAGTTAATTATATGAATATTTATAGGGGAATTCTTAGGCCTTATTGAAGTCGATTCTTCAAGTTGAGGAAATCATTTTTTTCGGCTTGTGATGTTTCTTCTTGAAATAAACGTCAATTTTCAATTTACATCAGGTCCAGAAGCCAGAATAGTGAAGTCCTTTTTTATTTTGACTAAATATAGGGACATTTTTCAAGTATTCACTCTCGAAACAATTGAGTTGAGAACGATTTCCATAAAAATGAGGTTATCGTGATTAGATTAGGAGATAATGAGAAAAACTCGAGTCTGAATGAGGGCAGTGTTCCACTACTTGACAGAAATGCGCTGGGGTGGCTGGAGGCGTTCATTCAGATATTTGGCCTTTAGGACTATTTTATGGGCGCACACGGTCTAACAGTCCGGCATCGATACCTCAGTTGGTGTTATGTTTCATGGACCATTTCCAATCAAATAATTGTTGTGTCATGGATAAAATATTCATCCAATTATTCTTTGCCTTTTCCCCCAACCTCTGAAATTTATAGCGAGTAAATAATTGAAGACTATTCAGTAGATTGATAAAATTCAAAAGATGGAAAACCTGAATTTACAAGCGAAGACAAGAAGAAACGGATCGCCGTTTGAAACGTAATTTTACCCTCCTTTTATGGTACTTTTTATTAGATTTTTCTCCCTGTGTAAAATGAAAAATCGATGAAAAAGCCCTTTTGATTGATTAAACTTGACCTTGACAAACTTGTAGGTCGTGTTTAGAAAACCGGTAAGCTCCCAACATAGTTTTAAGCCGCAAGATGGTGGATATAGATACTGTATGACGCATGTGAAACAGTCTCGATCGGATGAGATCAAGGGTGTCATCGTGATGCGCCTTTGGGGTGTTATCGAGCGATGTACCCCAGTTATTAACATGGCCCCGAGCTTTTGGGAGCAGTTGGCCGAGTTACACTTGATATCTAGGGGAAGGTCAAGCATCCAGTCCCAGACAATGCGCTGATATCTGACACTTTTATCGTGAAATCATTCTCGAAGCAGGTTTTGTGAAAAAAAAAATCGAGGGGGTTGGAGTCTTGTTACCTGTCCAAGTACTGTCCCTGGATCTGAAACTCTCGAGATTAGCTGTGGGGATGTACCAGAGGGTGCTTACATATATCCTCTCAGTGCATCCGCATTATTTGCCCAAATGATTCCCTAGGTACTTTACCGGGTTATGCTAGTCGACTTCTTTGCACAAATGCTAATTTTTGAACCATGAATTATTTAGATATTGCACTATCATCAGACTCACTCTGGATTCTAAGTTGTTTTAATATATCTGATACATTTTTTAGGTGGGACTTCATGTGATTCATGAAAATAAATTCAGGAAGGAAGTGATAACGGAGGGTGGCTCGATTTCAAATGAAATTTCAGGGAATTCAGTTCTTGAAATTCTAAAAAAAAAAGATTTTTCCACTTCTTTTACGCTGTTAAAAAATTACTCTTGATCTTTAATAATGATAATAACTGAATTTCAATTTCTTCTATAATGTTGAAAGGTTCTATTGAATTTGAGATTTCATAGGTTATAAAAGGTGCTATTGTTTTTAAAAATTCAACAAATTTGAATGTTTAATCTCATAAAAATTGAACATTACATTGGATTAAATTCCTATTATCTCAAAAATAGAAGAAATGGGCTGAAATTTCCATATTTTCGTCGTCATGTAGTCGTAGAGATTAAATTTTCATTAAAAATTGCCTGAGATCGCCTGATTCTGTAGTTACAAATAAATAGAGAAAAGTAAAAATTTGTTGTCTACTCTATGGACTCGAAACTCCAAAACTAATTTTCTAACAATGTACATATTAAATAAAAACATCTCATAGCGACACTGAAATTGGCTCATCTCGTGTTAGCAGTTCGCCACCAACTATCCCCATAAATATTTTATCCATTCCATTGAGGAAGACACATCGTTCCACTCAAATAATCCAAACTTCGTGAACCAAATAGCTAATTCAAATAAAATGACCTATCGACGACATTTTATCGGGTATTTCTCAAAGAGAATTCCCTCTCATTGAATCGGAGAATATTTCTGTACGCACGGATGGAGGTGAATTTTGACGCTGATGTTGACACAGCCCGAGGCAGTGTGCATCCATCAAATTTCATGTCAGCTGGATATCATGGGGGCATTGGAGAAGACAAGACGAAGACAAGCGTCAAACGCTGAGGATAAAGGAATGGTGTTAGGCAGAAAAAGACCCGAGTTATAAGTGGAGAAAAAAGAATGTAAGGTATAGAGAGGGTCCATAATTTTAAAGGTATTTAGCCGATACCGCCAATATTCAATACAGTCTACATTTTTGTTATATAATAGCTGAGAGTAGGAACCATACGCAAGTCACATTTTTGACCCCCCCATCCATCCATTTTAGCGAGATAATAACTATTGAAAACACCTGTCTGTAACGGAGAGTCTTATAGGAAACCGTGACCGTGTTAGCTTGATTGAAAAGAGCACTATTACGCACTGAACATAATAAACAAAACTCCACTCATTTATTTAACAATATGGAGAATTTTTTAACGGCCGAAAAAATTAGAGTGCCCGATACAATACGCGAGAAATTTGTGATTGATTTTGGGAAAGATAAAAAAAAAGCGGCCGGCATTACGATGATAAAATAAAATATTGACAACGTTGATCTCACAGCTGAGCAATATCGGCAAAGTAGATGACGATGAAACAGTGATGGCGGAGCACCTCGATGAATGCGGTGTTGCACGATCAAAACTCGAGCTTTACCACAGTGTTCAGTCATACGTCAATGTTTATGAACATTTTCCATATTTCTTCATAATTTGAACCGAAAAGTATACCACGAAGCTTATAAATAACTAGGGAAAAATTATTTATATCGTAGATGGTTAAACATTCTTAATGGAGCATTCGACATCGATCTATCGACTACGGTAGAAACACAAATCACATTACCAATTTTTCGTTTTTTTTCCTTTTTCGTGACATTCTCGGATGAAAAATGGGGGAATTAAGCACGAATGTAGCATGACACCAAGTTTACACTCACGAATGCTCGAGAATGAATGAAAATAATGATTTCTTTGTCCAGGTGTCATGGAAATGAGCGTCGGCATTCTGGAAAGCATGAGAAGCACTCGTCCCAAAAGCTCGAGTCCTCCTGGCCATTCTCACTGTAAGTCTCAAAACAAGGCCAACACGTTATATTGTATCATAGGCACCTAGCACACGTAGTTGAAGGATTTATGAGAATTGCTTCACCACAACGGAGGGTAAAGGGAGGTTGTAACCTCTTGTCTTTTCACCACTCGGCTTCTTTGCGGTGTAGACACTAGAAAAATCACGAAGAAAGTAGAGTGGAAGAGCACGGGAGAAGCTATACCCAAATTAATACCAGAAATAGCCTCAAAAATTCAACGTAGATTCCTTAATCTTTAAAAAAAAACAACTCAATTAATTCAAATTTAGGAATAAAGTGGATTTGAACATTTTCGTGAATTATCGATTTATATTGAAATCTATTTTTTACGATGAAAATGTTACAGCATTTTTCTTTTTTATTCACCATTTTTTGACGTGAAATCTATA